TTTTTTTTTTTTTTTTTTTTTTTTATTTTATTTTTTCTTTTTTATTTTATATTGTTTAAATATAAAAAGGAAAATATAAACAGCAGCAACAAAAGGAGAAACTGAGGTTTGCTGCTTCTCTCCTACCAACCGCATAATTTCAGGTGTATAGGCAGCTCGCAACAATTCAGGTGTATAGGCAGCTAGCAACAGCTCAGGTGTATGCACAGCTATTTGTAGAGTTTAGGGTTTAGGGTTTAGGGTTTAGGGTTTATTATTTAGGGGTTAGAGTTTATTAATTAGGGTTTACGGTTTAAGATTTAGGGTTTAGGGTTTAGGGTTTAGGGTTTAGGGTTTATATCTGTCTATAGAGAAAAAACAACAACAAAGGAAAGGAATTAGTAGCGGCTGGTGGGGGGCCGGTCTATGGTTGTTTTTATTTGAGAAATAAAACAAAAATTTAAATAAATAAATAAATAAATAAATAAATTAATTAAAAAAGAAGAAATCGCTGCAGCTGATTGGTTACTGGGGCTGCTGCTGCTGCTGCTGCTGCTGTTTGCATGCAGCAGCAGCAGCGCTGCTGCAGCAGAAGCTGCTGCTGCCTTCAAAAAAAAAAAGAAATTTGTTTTAATTTTGTCTTCTGTTTATTTTTTTTTATTTTTTTTCTCTTTAGCCCTGTGCTGCAGCCGACGGCCGCTGCTGCTGCTGCAGCATGTGCAGCAGCAGCAGCAAGATCTAAATCAGCAGCAACAGAAACTGCAGCAGCAACAACAGCAACAGCCAGGGGAGTAACAACAGCAACAACAACAGAAGCAGCAGCAACAGCAGCAGCAGCAGCGGCAACAGCAACAGCAGCAACAGCAACAGCAGCAGCAGCAGCAGCAGGACGTACAAGATGGAGTCCAATCGTCCAGGAGATGCAGCAGCTGCAACAGCAGCGCAGGCAGCAGCAGCAGCAGCAGCAACGGGAGCAGCAGCAGCAGCCCCAGCAGCAGCAGCAGCAGCAGCAGGAGATGAGCAGCAGAAGAGAAGGAAAACAAGATGGTGCAGGGTATGTAATTGAGGTGTATGTACACCTGAGACAAATACCTTAAACATATTCACTGCTGCTGTTGTTGTTGCTGCTGCTGCTGTTGCTGTTGCTGCTGCCGCTGCTGTTGCTGCTGCTGTTGCTGTTACTGCTGTTGCTGCTGCTGCTGCTGTCTTTGCATTTCTCAGGACGTCCCTGGAGAGCCAGCAGCAGGAGCTGCTGCAGCAGAGGGTGCAGCAGCAGCAGCAGCAGCAGCAGCAGCTGCTGCTGCT